ATATTGGTTCCGCTATCTGTGCAAAGTTTTGTATATGTATTTTAAAGTAATTTATAAATCCTGTAAATGATCTTACTCCATATATGTCTGTTGGTACTTTTAGTTTATTACATTCCTTAATTTTGACTTGATTCAGATGTATTTTTCCATGGTTGAGAATTAAAGTTTTCAATACCCAAAATTCACATTTATCTGGTTTTAGGCTCATGCCCACTTTTTTTATATATTCAAATACTATTTGAAGATATTCAAAGTGTTCTTTTTCTAAGTTACTTGCTATTGTCATATTATCCATGTATACATATACAAAAGGTAAATCTCTAAAGATTTTGTACATGTATCTCATTATATATACTGGTGCTGTTTTCAGTCCCATAGGTAATATATTCTATTCAAATTTTCTTTTTCAGGGAAGAATACAGTTGCTAAATATTTATCTACTTCTCATAGTTTAAATGGATAATATACTACTGTAAAATCTAGTGTTGAAAATATCTTATGTTTAGCTAGATTTTGTAACATGGTATTAATATATAGTATCTCATACCAGCCAGAAATTAGTAAACAATTATGTAATGTTGGCCAGAATTTGCAGATCTGCCAATTAAAAATCAATTTTGTATCAATCATTTGAAGAAATCTGATTGGTGCATACTTGATGGTTTTATTTAAAATATTATTTATAGCTATTTTTATTATTCCTGAGACACTTATAAAAAAACTTGCTGAAAAATTTTTGGCAAGTAATTTTTTTGGCATAATAAAAATTGATATAATATTGTAATATATACATAATTTAAAATTAGATACCAATATAAATATAAAATTACGCACACTCCTTTTGAATTCAAAAAATATAGTATTTTCAAACAACATTCACTAGCAACTTATTGAAAAAAATTTAGAAGGCCTATCAACTCGAAAAATTGCAAAACAATTAGGTGTTAGCAGGTCTTCTATAAGTCAGGTTCTTGTATATTTTCAAAGATATGGTTGTATTGAAAAACTTCAGGAAAACCCATTCTTTAAACATGAATAATATAAATTATCTTCAAGTTTTAATGAAAGAAAAACCCAACTGGTACTTGTATGAATTACAATCCGAGATGAAACTTTAGTTGAGATGTAGCATTAGTCTTACAACTTGAATATACACACAAAAAAGTAATATTTCATATATTTATACATATTTTTATTTTATAAACTTTTAACAATTTTAATTTTATAAACTTTTAACAATTTTAATTTTATAGATTTCAAAACTTGCAAAAAAAAGAAATTAAGTTGATAAAAACAATTTCAATTTATGAATGTCTCAGTATACACCAAGTTTGTTAGTTTTTTCTGACAAAACTATTTATAACAAAAGAATATTATCTCAATGCTATCGCTAGAATTTTTTAGAATATATACAATAGTAATTATAGCTTTGTCATAAAAATTTTATAAATTTCTAATCTTTCTTTGTCAATATGTAGCAAATCATTTCTAAAAAGTTAAGCATTTTATTTATTAGTTGCAATCTTGTTCTGATTATTCTAATTGTTCTGATCATTCTTAACATGCCCCAAAATCTTTTTAATCACATTCAGATTGTATTTATAAGATTTAATAAGTTAAATTGACCTTTGATTCTATAATTTGATGTTTGCATTGTTGATAAGTCGAATAACTTGAAAGTATTTGCCATGGATGATAAAGATTCTAGAGAATCTTTAATTGTTAGATCTACTATAAGTTTTGATTGTGTTGATCATAATTTTTAACGCATTTTTGATACATATTAATTAAGTCTTGATTTTTTGAAATCTTGATTTTTAGTTAAATTTTTAGTCCAATTGACAAATTTTTGATCATATCTAACTTTTTTAATATTAGCACCTATTTGTGTAATATATTTACTATAAAAGCTAATTTTTTTATTTGGAGCTTTTTTATATTTCTTGTAAAGTTTTATTGGTTAATGAAAACAATCTTTTCCATAAACTTTTGCACAAATTAAATACACTAAACATATTGGGCAAATGTTCAACTAAAATTTTAATAATATTGATATAATAATAATAAAATTATTTGTATGTAGAACAGTATTATATTTATTATGGTAATTTTTAGAATTGGAACAATGATGTAATTTAGACGTAGATATTATATCAATATTTCAGTTAATAAAAATTGAACAAATTCAAAAATATATTTAATTTAGACGTCAATATTACAGTAAATAAAAATCAAACAAATTCAAAAATATATTTAATTTAGACGTCAATATTACTGTAAATAAAAATTAATTTATGATGTAGATATTATATTTTTTATATACTGATTATGCCAAAAAAATTACTAGCCAAAAAATTTTTCAGCAAGTTTTTTTATAGATGTCCTAGGAATAATGAAAATAGCTGTAAAAAAAAACATAAAATGCTAATTTTATGCATCTATAATTTGGAAAATTTTCAGGTTATGTTGATATACAACCCAAACCTGACCAAAACCTAACCCGAAATTTTCGAGTTAGATATTTCTAACCAGAACCTGACTCGACCCAATTCAGAGTACTAATGCCTAGCCATATTAACTTGTTGCAACAATATAATATACTTTTAAACATTATAACAATTTAAAATTTTATTTTTATTTCAAATACTTTATTTAGTTTTTATTTTTCTCACATTAAATTTTAAAGAAGTTTTTAAAGATATATAATGTTATATATATATGTAATAATTGCTTAAAGTATTGCTATTAGATTTTTATTAAAACCAGATGCTTCGTGAAGGTTTTGGGTTCCTAATATTGATAAATAAAATGCATTGCCATGCAATATTAAACAAATTTTATAACAAAGAAAAATAAATCATAATTTCCATGTTTATCAGCATGGGAGACTTTCTCATTTTTTGGAAATACACAGTTTATCATAGCCAATCAAAAACCATCATCACATAAACACATGACCCACTTTTAGATATTTGTTAAACAAGATGGCTAATAGTAAGCATAATATGTATATTATAATCTCTTCTATAATTTAATTTCAAAATATTGCGTTGTAGAAGAATCATATTACTTTTTAAGCTACAATAACAGCTTTTACAGTTGTGTAAATTTTATTTAATAAAAATTGTTTAATAACAAGTTATGTAACCTCTAGTAGCACTCTATATGGCCAGTAAAACTATACTATTATACATATAAAATGAATTTATTAAATAGACTATCTTCTAACTATGCATAACTCTTAAAAAACACCAGTAAAATTTATAAATAAAACGAGTTAGTTATTTGAATAAAAAAACAAACCAAAAAAAAACAAACTCAATCTCTACGAATTAAGCAGTGTAATATATTTTTTATTACCTGCTACTATATGGTAGATAATACTTCAACTCTTCTTAGATCTACCTTTAGTCGCGCGATGCAAGGCGATGCAACTTTATTTTCTTGACGAGACACTCACTAGGAAGTTGTTCTATTAGTAAAGTATTATGTCAATAGTTGATTTTTTTTTAAGTTTGCTTATATCCAAAACTTCCGGTTTTACACTAATATGCTATATAAATACTTGTGTAATGTCGATCCCGGAAATTATCGGATTTGAATGTCTACCATGCTGTGTTTATCATTATCCTACAGGAGCGACCGTCGATGTTACACGACTGGTTTTTCACGCGGTGTGAAACACATAAAAAAATTATTTTACAATACTTGATCGGACTTGATCAGTCAGTTAGTACATGTTATGATTATAATCCCACACCATTTTTTTATAATAAAAAATGGTGTGGGATTATAATCATAACATGTACTAACTGACTGATCAAGTCCGATCAAGTATTGTAAAATAATTTTTTTATGTGTTTCACACCGCGTGAAAAACCAGTCGTGTAACATCGACGGTCGCTCCTGTATCATTATCCATATTAGTAAAATTTATAAGTTCATTGTGTCCAGATTTGGTGTTTATCTTGAAACTTGTGTTACATCTACACGTCCGAACAGAAAAAAAAAAACAACCTAACGCTAAAAAAAACAAGTAACAGGTACGTACGTATTTATATATATTATCTGTTATCTGTAGTTACAGTACGTTCAAATATACAGATTATAGAAATCTGGAAGTAGCGAAGATTAACACCTGATTTATGACATTTTTGAGTCTTGTGAGTCCCATTATTACAATATAGATAATTTAATCATTTTGTAAACAGTTTATGATCATTATCGGTAACTGAATATGAAACGTATTTGCTTTTATAAATAGTCATTTAAACCACAAATATCTTGAATAAAACTCGAGTAAATTGACTCAGTCAAATGATTTAAGTACTCTTTGAGTTTGATTAATGAATCATGAGTTAATACGAGTTAACACTGGTTAAGTCAGCTTACTATGTTTTCCCGCAGAATTAATATTATTCTACTGAAACTATATAGTTAATCTATTTGAAAAAAATAAATATAACGGATAATCCTGAAAGCCGGTACTAGTTACTGTATGAGATACTGTTTTAAAATTATAGCTTTTTTTTTTTTTGGTTAAAAGATTTAAGGAATTGAATTCAATTTTTTTTTAGTTAATCAAAAATCCTTAATAAAATAAACAAGTTATCAGGCAGTACATACCTGCCTGATAGTTTATAATTACATATTTCATGTTATTGTCACCTAAGTGTCTATGATTTTCGTGGTTAAAATTTCCATAAATTTACTTCGTTTTGATTCTTATTTTGTATTTGTTATTCTGAACTAAGACGAAATTGATAAATTGATTTTGGCTACAAACACTGTGACGTACTTTATGATGATATTATGCATTTCGTGTGAAAAATTTTTAACTTGCATATGATCTGATCAAATTAAGTATTTATTGACAACAATAATACAACCACTTTTTGATAAGCCTTTTACAGTGCTGTATAAATTTTATTAAACCAGTCATAACAAAACCTGCGAACGTTAGTCTTCAGAAATCCATTCTTATCAATTTAATAAATAACATGAAGGATTCAAAGAAAAAAAATATATACATCCGAAACGGAATTATCTATCGTAATGACGAAGCTATTCATGCCAAAGAAGTATCAAAGGCTGAAAAGCAAGTAGATGACTTAAAGACAGCACTTGAAAATATTGCAGTTGATTCCGGTGGTCCTAGTGATCCTAATGGTTCTAATAACAATAATAACAATAATAATAAGGATAGTAAAGATAATAAAGATACTAAAGATAATAAAGATAAGGATGATGACGGTGTTGTCGACATTGATTTAGAACCATTTTCTGCTTGTAACAGTAAAAAATATGGACTTAAAAATCTTGCGGATGGAGGTTGTGACCATAAAACTATAGGTGAAATGCCCATTTTATCGGATAAAGACGAAAAAAATAAAATGGAAATTGCTTCAGCCAAAGTCGCTGATATGACTACTTGCGGAAATGTATTAGGAAACAAGAAAAAAGTTAATATCAAACATGATAATTTTAATCCATTTAATATTAATCTGCCCAAAATTGGAATGACGCTTCTCAATACAGATAACAGTAGAAATGTTATCGGGATCAATAATGATGTGGAAATTAATGACAAAAATAAAAGCATTGTTAATGCCTCATTTGGAAATTCTAATGTTACTGCAATCAATCAGGTTGCCCACGATAATGTAATCGGTTCCGGTAACACAGTATATAGTAAGCGTCTAAACATGAATTTGATCAACTGCAATGTAGCAAACAGTAATTTAACAGGCTTGGATTTGAGTTCTCGCAGAAATGTAATTGGAGATTTTAACAAAGTAATCGACCTTGAAGCAAGTTTAACCGGAATTAATATAAATCGTGATAATACCAATATAGTAGGTGCTAGTGTAAATTATAAAGAGAACGTGGTGGGTGATAAAAATTTGGCTATTTCTGGACGCGCAAAAGCAACACTTGTCAACTATGAAGAGAATAATTATAATGAAATAGGCTTTGGAGAGAATTCCAAGAGCCTTAATATCTCGAAAAAAAATATAGGTCAAAATCTCAAAGTGGACGGTAAATTAGAATTTACTGGAATTAACATTCAAAGAAAAAATGTCCATATTGATATGAATAAGGATGATAAAATAAAGGTTGGTGGGGATGTTACCTTGGTCAGTAACCAAGAAAACAACGTAGTTATGAATAGAGGTGAATCGGGTTTTAGCTTTAAAGCGGTCGGGACTGGTACGAGCAGGGGAAATGTAGTTATAAGCGAACCATCATTTGGTGTTGATTTTGTTGTTAGTGGACAGAAATCTGTTGGTAACGTAAGTTTAGGCACACGTCTACAGATTGGTATTGGGACTTCCCTTGATCTTAGATTACCATTTGGAGGAAGTTCAAGTGGCGGAAGTAACGATGACAAAGGTAGTAATAATGGAGGCGGTAAAAATGATAACAAAGGCGGTAATAATGACAGTAGCGATAATGATAACAAGGGCAATAGTGAGAATAATAACCAGAGTAATAACAAGAATGATAGCAATAACATGGATAAAGCTGGAGGTAAAGGTGATAAAAGTTGTGGTAGTAATAATAGCAGTGATGATAATGATAACAGGGGCGATAATAATAAGGGCGACAGTGAGAGTGATAGCAAAGGTGGTAATAAGGGCGATAGCGAGAGTGACAACAAAGGTGATAATAAGGGCAATAGCGAGAGTGATAACAAAAGTAGTAATAAGAGAAATAACAAGAGTGATAACAAGAATGATAGCGAGAATAATAACCAAAGTAACAAGAATTATAACAACAACATGGATAAAGCTGGAGGTAAAAGTGATAAAAGTTGTGGTAGCGATGATAATAGAAATAACGATTGCAACACGAATGGAGACAATAGAACAAATAGTGGTGAACATGGTAACGATAACATGAACAATGGTGTAAATAAAGATGAAGATAATAAAGATTCATCTCCTGCGAACTATTTCATCTTAATCAACGAGAATCCTCTATCCTTTAATAACAGTGACGAAAGTTATTCGTTCAGTTCTAATCAAGATTCTGCACTGGGATCCCAAAATGATAATATTTATGAAAATAACCAAAACAACTACGACGATTTTAACACATACCAACTACCCACGAATGGTTTTATTATCCCCTTTGCTAATGGTGATGAAAGTTACTCATTCAGCTCTAATCAAGATTCTGCACTCGCATCTCAAAATAATAATATTAATGGAAATAACCAGAACGACTGCAATGATTTTAAAACATATCAACCTCCTGCCAATGATTTTATTGTCTTAACCAATGATCATGATCAAACTGCTTCTGATAACTATTTTTCTTTTGCTGAACCTTCATTACAAAACGATAGTATTTATCAAAGCAATACCAACTATAGCTATAATTCTTACTCTATTATGGATGGCGTTACTACATCTTCATTTGGTTCGAGTGAAAGTCCCGCACAGAATGCACAGAATGATATTTTTATTAATATTAGTAATAATAACCTTAGATTTCAGGCAGATAGTAATATTGAAAGGAATAGTGATTACGTTATTAGTAACGGTGTAAGCGAAATTAATCATTTTAACACAGAAAATAAATCCCATTCATCCACCACTTCTGGTATCGGCACTGAAAATAAATCTCCTTTATCCACCACACCCGGTAACAACACAAAGTCTTTCTCGGACAACATTGATGAAGCTAGAAATTCCCAAATCTTACTGTATTTGAACAAGTCTTGGCAGACACAATTCACAAAAATCCACATTTAGCCTCAGCTCTACAGACTGCACTATCCAATACTACATCTACACCAGATGATAATTCAAATCCCTCAAATAATTCTATTACAGATATTGAAACCTCTATTAAAAATAGTATTTATCGTCATGCTGAAACCATTGCAAAGCATAAGAAGCAAGACCAGAAAGATGATAGTAATTCATCCGGTTTATCTGGCTCTAGTGAGTCTACACGTGCCAAAGGTGCTAAAAAAGATGATAGTAAAGCCCAAGATAAACGCTCTGCCAATAAAGAACAATCTCAGAAAAATGAAAAGGATGATAAAAAAGATGAAGATAGTGACGAAGAAGAAGATAAACCTAAAGAACCATGTAAAAATCACCCTTCAAGTGTTCGTTGTTTTCGTTGTTTGTCAAGTGCAAAAGGAAGAAAAGTTAAAAAAATGAGAGGAAATGTGTTTGGTTTTGCTAATTGAAACTAAAATCGTTACAAGTAAAATCATGTATAAGTTTTAGATCTGAAAATAGTGAACTCTAGTATAGCGAACAATTTATTTTTAGCATTTTTATATATCATATCTAACTATAATAAAGCAACGAATTATTAACCTCTCATCTTTTTTTTTGGTATATAATAAATTATTTCTGTTTAAATTATAGAATAATATAGATTTTTTTTATTGGTAATTCCTTTACTATGTTTTTTTGACTAAAGCAGAAAACATTTAATTACTCAATTAGAAATTGGAAAGATTCTAGAGTTTGGAACCGATTATATTTTTCACAAGTTAAAACCGGGTTTAACATATGAAAAATAAAATCGGTTCCAAACTCTAAGCAAGATTTAGTTTTATTAAAAAAAATCTATATTGTGATATATTAAGGTGAGCCTATTAGCCGATTTACAAACATATAATAAATTCTAGTAGTATTTTAAAAATTATAAAATTTAACTATAAAACTTTTTAATTATTAAACTCATAAATAAAATTATATTATATTTCTTCTCATATTCTTAGAACTTGTAGGTAGCTATTCATGCCAAAGACATTTTTATTCAGGTGATATTTTACTGTATGAAATATTGCAATTTAAAACCCATAATATAAAAAAGTCATAACAAGTTTCAATTTAAAATTGGTTTGGTCCAAAAGAATAGGTACTAATTTATTATTTCAATTTGCTGTTAATTTAAAAATAAAAAGACTATGCATTGGTAAAATAGCAATATTTTCATGGAATGCTAATTTTGTAATTTATTTTAGAACCTAGTATATTTTTTCAAAGCAATTCAGATAATGACACTTAGATACGGACTTCTGTCTAATCAATTTTACTTAATCATTTAAATACCATTCAAGTACTTTTATTTTATCTTTACTAATTAAAGTTATTTATTAATTTTAAGATTATTTTGGTGATGTTTCTACATTTTGTTTCTAAACTTCTTATTTAAAAGTGCCATCGAGAATATTTCATCTGTATTTTAGATTTTAAGTGCCATTCAAATGTTATTTAGTGTGACTACGTGAGCTGATTATAACAGATAACAATAATGAAAACGTAGCAATGTGACATACTGGGGGTTTGGCATTATAAATATTGTCATGTATTCTATTATTTTGATGGCCATTATCGTTCTAAATTTTAATATCAAAAGGTTATATGATAATCGCTTGTTGAAAATATTATATTACTACATTAATATTAATTGTAATGAGTTATTATATTTTATTATTTCATTTTTGTTATTATATATATGCTGGCATCAGATTAATATTTGTGTCAGATCAGCATTTAAATGTATAGTTTTAGAGCTAGAATACGAGTCTATTTGGGTATTAGCGGAATTATAATGATTTAATGTATATAAATATAATCTTATTCAATTAATAAAAATGAAAGAGTAATAACAGAGAAACATATGATAAATATAAAAATAGAAAGTTACAAATTGAAATAATAATCGCATTTTCTTTAACAATAACTATCATTGAACCCAAATCTTTTAACAAAACCCGTTTCACACATAACTTATGAAACGCCCGAAGCTAATCTGAGTATGTACGCGAATTGCTTTCCTTCCCAACCCAAGGCGTTACACTGCCCGATCAATTTGTTAAAGCGTAATGTTCACACTGCGTCTAATCCCGTGATCTTTGTTTGATTAGATTGTGAAATAATAAAACAAAAAATTTAAAGCCTACTTGGTACGTATAACCCATGTTCTGGCTCGATCCCAACTACAACCCAAACCCAAAATACTATTACTTTAAAATCTTGCGCCACAGAAATCTCGATGAAATATATCAATTCTACGCGCAATAATATTCCTTAATCGTGGTAATAAACAGAAAGTATAAAGACAATCAGTATAGATATATAATAACAGATTTGTGAAATTTGACCTTTACTTAAGCTACCAAATTTAGCAAGGAAAACTCCTTAAATCCATATACAGAAACATGAAATATGTGTGCTAACATGTAAAATCTATAAGTCCTGATTTTAAACTTTTTCTGTATCTTCCAAAACAACAGATTTTACTTTGTAACACCTTTTACAAATTTAATATCCTCATCTGAACATAGGTAGTTCAAATCTAGTACACCAATCTATCAATTGCAAATACCTAGTAGAAACATAGTAGTTGTTAAATAAATCCGCCTCGTGAAATATTGTCACGGTAGTCTTAATTTCCAAACCGTTTAAATCACTCGCCAAATATTGACGGCTTTTTAAGCCCTGATTTAACGCTGAATCGATCTACTCGTCTTCATCCCAAAGACTCATTTTTATCCCGATTTTAATGCTACATAATAATTGATGTATCCTGCTCTTTGTGTGCCTTTTAAAACTGCTTTAATATATATTTTATTATAATATATAAATTCAAAAAACACAAATACGATCAAAAAACACCGACTAGGCAAAAGTACCTGATAAATTCAATATTCATCATGACTTTTACTTTCTGCAATTTTTTTGTAATATTCGGATTTTTTTTTATCAACTTTTGTTCCAATCCCATTTTTATAACATTAAGCGAGATTCATGGCTCCATTTTTGCTTCCTCCTTTTTCTGCTTTTGCATACAATTTAAATGCTTTCTTTTCATTTTTACCAGTTCCAAATCCTTTTTGATAGCACCATCCAAGATTATTTTGTCCACTCGCATTTCCGCCATTTGCAGACTTCAAATACCACTCAAAGGCCTTATCTTTATCTTTTGTTGTTCCAAATTCATTTTGATAACACCACCCAAGACGATCTTGTCCACTAGAACTTCCGCCTTCTGCTGATTTTGAATAATATTCAAATGCTTTTTTTTTCATCATTATTTGTTCCAATAGCTTTTTCATAACATCTTCCAAGATTATACAGTGCGCCTATATTATTGCCCATTGCTGATTTTGAGTACCAATTAAATGCCCTTGGTTCGTTTTTATCTGTTCCAATCCCTTTTTCATAGCACCTTCCGAGATTATTTTGTCCATTCACATTTCCACCATTTGCAGACTTTAAATACCATTCAAATGCTTTCTTTCTATCCTTCACTATTCCAAATCCATTTTCAAAGCATATTCCAAGATTATATTGCGCATCTGTATTGCCGCCTGTTGCTGATCTCAAGTACCATTCAAATGCTTTCTTTTTATCAATAGCCGTTCCAATTCCATTTTGATAGCATCTTCCAAGATTATATTGTGCTTTCGTATTACCTCCTTCTGATGATTCGAAGTACAATTCAAATGCTTTCTTTTTATCATTAATTATCCAAATTCCTTCTTCATAGAACCTTCCAAGATTATTTTGTCCATTCACGTTTCTACCTTCTGCAGACTTCTTATACCATTCAAAGGCGCTTTTTTTATCTTTTTTCGTTCCAAATCCATTTTCATAGTATTCTCCAAGTCTATACTGTGCATCTGTATTGCCACCTTTAGCTGATTTCAAGTACCATACAAATGCTTTATTTTCATCTTTTATTGTTCCAGTTCTGTCCTGGTAGCGACACCCATAATCATAATATTCACATGATTCAAGATTTGTTAATATTTTAGGAACTTCGCCTATTTCTGGACGATCGTTCGGATTTTCTTCCCAACACTGTTTATAAAGTTGAATATATTTCTCAGGTGTGTCCTTTATGGGGACTTCTCTGTTACCATTAGCTACATGAACAGGAATTGCCATATTTTCAATTTTAGAAAATGGTGGTCGACCACTAGAAATCTCCCAGAGAATAACGCCAAAGCTATAGACATCCGATTTCTTGTCAAGTTTATATGGATTAGTCGTATTAATGAAAAGTTGGGGCTCAACATATGCTGGCATCCCACAAGTACCTGAATATATTGATGTTTCATTAATGTGCTTTGATAATCCAAAATCCGCAATCATGGCTTGCTCCCGATGAATTAAAACGTTAATACACTAAGTACCTTGATAAATTATAAATTACTGATGCTAAATTTAATAATAATAATAAAGCACTTTAAAAATTTTATTTCTATGCTTAAGTTTAAATTAAAATTGCATCAGCATTAGAAAAGATAATCACTACAGTTTTATGAGAAATACTCACAAGATCTCGATGAATAATATCATGATTATGTAAAAATAGTAGACCTTTCGCTATTTCCTTAGCAATACATAATTTATTTATCCATTCTAATTCTGAAAAATTTTTTCCTAGATACTCGCGTAAATTTCCATCTTCTGCATATTGCAAAATCATAATATAATGTCCATTTGAATGTGCTATTTTAAATTTAAATTAATAATCTTAATCCAATAATCAATGAAGATTTTTTTAGAAGCATTATACAAAAGCTATTTATACCCCTTGTAACCCCATGAAATTTGATAATATTTGGATGACTAAAAACGTTTCGCAAAAGAAGAAGCTACAGCATTCATTTAATGTATTTTAAAAAATTTGGTAAAAAATAAAATTTATTTCATAAGTATGTATAAATACGTACCTCGTGAGTAAATCCTTGAATAATCTTATCGTTTTTAACTTCTTTTAAACATTTAAGAGCAACTGTTAAATGATTTTTCTTCCATTCAGACTTATACACAGACCCAAAGCCACCAATACCGATCTCCTCGGAATCATTAAATTCACTATAATCATAAAGGTTAAAATATTGTTTGGAAATGGCATTTTCAATTTCAAGCCATTTCTCAGAATGTATTGACATATTTAAGTTCAAATTAGAATATACGAAATTGACGATAAACTTGCATTAATTTATTTGGATCTGCTTTAATCCACCGACAATCGTTTCACCAACAGCTCATTTAGTCCACATCACAATATAATAAAAGCATACTGTATACCCATAACTAATCAACAAAAACCCTAACTTTGTGTGATATCGGCAAATGAATTTCAACAAAATGACTGTTAGTGAAGTGAGAAGCACCGTGTTTATTGATGATTGTGTATAACGTTTAACGAACCAAATATTTTCCTGTGTAACTATTTAATTTGCGTTCAAGAGAAGAACATCCTGTAATTATTGGTACTTAATTATGGCATTAATGAGTCATCTAATTTTAATACTGTAAATTTTGTAAATTTGAAATTGAAATACCATAATATAAATGTTACTATTAATAAATTGTTAGGTAATATCACAGACGGTTATATACAAGACTGGGCTTATTGCATTTCACCGATTTTGAAAATTTTAGGCCCTAACTAGGAGTTTATATCATATAAAACAACGCAAGAAAGTTTGATATACATACACATTTTTTGTTTATAATAAAATTCAAGAATTTATTGAAGACATTTATTTAATAAGCAAGATTAAAGAGATATTAAATGAAACTATTCAAATTCATAATATTTAATAATGTTATTTGTTATTTGTTATATAGTAATAGGATTTTTGTACATATCTAAATTTTAAATACAATATTCAATTAATTTTTCATTTATATAATCTTCAATTGTACTTGAGAAATTTTCATACAGTTAAAGAAATTATTCAGTATCTAAATATTAAAATAAAGTGAATAATAAATTTGAGCTAGTTTAGCATTGTAGTACTTACCCAGTAGGAATATCAACAGATTCAATAGATTTACTTGTTGATGACAATTCTTATTTGAAAATATTAAATATATTTTAATTATTTATTGCATAATATTATTTTAAATAATTTTTTAAAATAGTACCTTTAATTTTATTGGCTATCTTTTGTGTGCTAATAATTTTGCTAGTTTACATATGATCTGGATGATTTTGAGGAATAGTTGGCAATGTTCTAATGATTTGATCTGCATTTAAGAACTGTTTTTTTGTTTCATTTTCATCATCTGAAGCTAACACTTCAAGCCAATCATTAATTCATTAATAGCCAGTACTCTAGGCCGCTCTTGTGGATCTGAATTCATACAATCCTTTGCCAATTCGATATAGCAGCCAGGAGTTCCGAAAGCAAACTCTGGACGCAATCCAGTACAAATATTTACTGAAAGCTCTTCGTTAAATTGATAACCGTCAAAAGGTCTTTGTCCGGTTGACATTTTTACCATAATAATACCAAATCCATAAATATCCGCTGCTTGTGCAAATTGTTCTTTGCCTGATAAAACTTCAGGTGCAACATAGGGCATGACTCCAAAAATATCGCCCTCTGAAATAAAATCATCTTTCTTTCTAGACAATCCTAGATCTGCGATATAAGATTGTATATTTTCATTAGTGCGTTGGTCTTGCAGAATGTTGCCGCTATGAAAATCAGCATGAAAGTATCCTGCACGATTGTGAATTAAAATTAATTCATATGAAATATTTTGCAATATTTGTAATTTAGTTTGCCATGTAAGTTTACTAAAATTCTCTCTTAAATGTTTATAAAGACTTCCATCGGTTTCTGTATTTTTAGTTATTCCATATGTTGCGAGCTTAGCATAATTTAATTTACATTCCATAAGACTTTTAAACTTGAAGTTTAAACAATGTATTAGTTCAATAAACTATTAGATATATAATAAACCCAATAAATTAACTTACTTCTTTTAAAAAACCGAACTTGTTTTCCTTATAACTTGCCAATGTTTTGAGTGCAACGATACTGGATGGTTCACGAGCTCTTACATAATTGTATTCATTACCATCAACTTTTCGTATACAGTCAGATCTCTCTAAGTGCACGCCCTTGGGACCACACTTTTATAACGTGCATATAGAGAATAATAAGAAAAAGTGCATTTATGGAGGTCAAGTATATATTTGGGCCGGCACTTGTGCGTGCATTTAGAGAGGGTGTGCACTTATAGAGGGTGCACTTAGAGAGGTCTGACTGTAGTGAGGAAGGCAGAAGGGGTGTAATGTAGACTACCGAATTAATTTGGTCTGGCCTTACCAGTTGCATAGTTAAATCCGTACAGATACGGATTCGATTTTGTGTAATCCTTACGGATACGGATTCGATATTATGTAATCCGAATTATATGGATTTGAATAGTTTACGTCTGTATTATCCGGATCACACCACTAGCCGAATGAAAATTATTCATACATACAAAAAAACTGTGATAGTTGTCATTATAAAAAGACTAGCATTTAAAAGAATAAAATCATCATTTTCAAGGTGATTACGATTTGCTAATTATATTAAAAGAATTTTTTTTCAAAACAAGGCACATTTAGTTTAAATCATGAAATAACTTTTTTAAAATATATATATATAAATAGAAATAATTATTAGTTTTTTTTTTTTAACATTTAATTTTTATTCTCATAGATAGATAAAGTTTGCTTATATAATTTTTTTTTTAATTAATCTGTAAAACTTTAACCGATTCCATACCGACATACGTACGTTTTATTCAATGATTCACAAATGACTCCGAATTGACAAGAATCAATAAATGGCACATAACATAAATACCGGTACAATAAAGTTACTTACATGTGAAGAAACTATAAATTAAAAATATATAGAACTATATGGATTAGAAGAAAGATTGATTATTTTCGATAAATTTGTTACAATATTTAATTAACAAGTCTGCATTATAATTGCTTGCGTGATCAAGAACTTCATCAACATTACAAAGTTTAACGTATTCAAAAAGTTTCTTTTCTGCTTCATTTTTTAAATTTACTAAATTATAATAATCAGATGCTTCTAAAAGATCCATCAAAATTTTAAATTGCCTTTCATTTTCTTGTTCTTGAGACCAATCTTCATCGATATTCTTATAATTATATTTATTTCCATTTTGATTTTTTATAGGTGCAATAGCTGTATCAAGTGAAAATCCATATAAATAATTCAATAAAACTTTGAATGAATCAGGTTCAATATCATATCCAGGAATAGTGACCGTTTCTGATGGGTTACCATCTCTATACTTGATAGAGAAAGAATGTTTAAAGTGATCAGCAGCAGATGCAAGCACAAGTCTATTTGCAGCAATTTTTTGATCCTTTACAATAAATATCACATCGTTAAGAGGTTCAGATAATCCAGCTTTTAACGATTGTTGAAGTGCCTTTAAGAGTATTTCACCTTGTTTATTCACTTTTTCATCTTGATCATCTTGAGACGAATCATCATCCAAATCTTCACCAGATTTAAGAGTACCAGACCCTGCAACCTCCAATAATTTTTTATATTTTGCCAAACTTGGTTTTACAAAACCTTCTTCAGATAAACTAACACCCACAATTAATTCATCAGCAGCTTTCCAATTAGATTCTTCAAAAGCATCTTCATTTGGGTATATGTTTAAGAAAATTTTTTCACCTTTTATAAAAGATTGAACGTCAAGAACAGAATCTTCATCTTCACATTCTTCATTAAGTGCATTATAAATTTCATCAAGCATCTTTTTAAAAAGATAATCTTCATTTTTCCATTGTGTAGATTTTGATAATTTGAAAGCTACTACACGTAAATGATCTAAAATTTGATTTGCATTTGGCTTTCCAAATTTCCTTAGTTTTGTTAATATCGGTGACGAAGGTTTAGGAATTACAGCACTATGAAACAATGCCACTTGTGTAAAAGCTTCAAAAGAAAAAAAAATTAAATTCAAAATTTTAATAAATATTACAGTAAACATCGTTGATAATATTGTAAAAATAATAGTTACCAATATTTTTATACTTGGGTAAACATAATAAATTAAGGCATTCAAATTCGTTAGGCTTAACAGCCTTTTCAGAATAAGGAGTTTCAATAGATAATTCTGCTGGAATGAAAGATATACGTGCCAAGTCCTCATATTCAGCATCAGAATAATTCAAATCGTCTATATTATCATATAAATAATGAACTACAGTTGTTGCACGATAAATTAAATCATTTGAATTATGATATCTTATTTCTTGAGATTGTTTCTGAATAGCTCTTGCGCATTCAATAAATGTTTGCCTAGTTACTTGATATTTAAATCCCATTCTTTTGATAATATTTAAATAAGTTGTGTTATTTTGAAATTCATCATGAAGAAAACGATCAGTTCCTTCAAAAGTTATTCGAAATAAATAAGTTTTATGATCATAAAGATCTCTTGCAGTTTTAAGTTTCTTATTTGATCTATTTGGAATCACAGCTTTACTTTCAATCACTTTTTCGACTTCATTAAAATTACTTGAAGTTAAAATACTTTTAATAAAATCAAAATAATTTTCATCATATTCTTTTGGAAATGCATAATGACTTTTTAAATAACTGACAAGATCTACGTAAGGAGTATTTAATGCTTCTAATATCTTTTGATATTCATCATTTTTTACATTAAGAAACAGTTTGTCAGAATAACATTTGGATTTTGGTGATAATATTTCAATCTTTTTCGGTGGAAGTAATCCATCACTCGGACTCTTGAATTTCACACCATTTGCAGCTGTAGGCCAAACTGGTAATTTAAATAGAACATTACGAAATTCAGGTTTAACTACAGTAAAAATATTATTAAATAAATAATTATAAACGTTAATTACAATAGTTTAAAATTTGTTATTTACAAGATAATACTATTTATAAGATAATATTATTTATTTACCTTTAGTCCCGTAATTTAGAGAAAAATCATTCCAATTTTCGATAATAAAATGCCTTATAGCTTTAATTTCATCTTTTGCTAATTTTGTAAATGGTCTAATGTTTCTTTGTAGAGCATCGCCTAATGATTTTAAAACAGTTTCTGGAGTCCATTTAAGAATATAATCACCTAATTTTGCATCCCAAGAACGATCAGTAAATCTAATTCCTAGATTTTGAAGAATATTGACTAATTTCTCAAAATGTGACATATCACTTTGTGGTAATTCAAGTAATGGATTTTTTGAATCTAAGCGTATTAATTCACTTTTTGGACGTACAACTTCTAAAAGTGGATACTTTGAAAATAATTCCAAACTTGTATTTGACTCCAAAATTATTTTCCAAATTTCATTTAGCCATTTTTTATTTGGAATTTCTGTAGATTCTGGATCCCAATTTGTTATTTTTTGTTCTGGCACAAGTTCATATTCTAAAAGGTACGCAAGAGATGTGGCATTAAATTTCTTTATATTTGTTTTTTCATGAAATTTGTCTTTTTCAAACGCCACTTTTAACTTTGGATGTTCACAATATTTATCGTTAACAAAATTTGATGAATTAATGTGTGGTACTAAATTTTGTTGTTCACGAGTTGCTAAATAATATTTTTGTCTAAATTGTATATCGAATTTACCCCATTGATTATTGTACAATGGAATTAAATAAATATCATCTAAATCTTCATAATCTTCATCTTCCAAAATAAACACTAACAGTTTAATTAACTGATCGTATTTATATTTACTTGAAAGATTATTTATACCCCTAAGATTTTGCCGAACCATTCCTGCAGGAACTGGGGATAATTCAACACCTGCCGATTTTAATTCATTTAACATATCGAGAGGTAATTGTACACTTTTCACTTTACTATATTTTGCAAGAATTTCAATAATAAATTTATCATTTTCAAAGAATCCTTCTCGTAAAGAAACATAAGAACCATCTTCAGTAGTTGACCAAAATAAAGGTTTATCAGTAGGAAGTTTTCCAAGAACTTCTCGTCCAAATTCTGTAACATAACTATTATTTTTCTCTTTATTTCTTGGTAAAGGCCAAAAGTATTCTACAATTTGCTTATAAGCTATGATGTCACTTTTATTTGCAAAATTTACAATTTCTTCTAAAAGTTTAACATAAAGTTGAGGCAAGATCTTTAATAATAAGTGTCTATTCCATGCCAATTTAGATTTATCCATATCTGCTAAAGAATCATTGTTTAAAAGAACGGTAGATCTATCTGATGATAATGCCCAATTACCATTAAGATGTACAGGGAGGTAAGTCAGTTGAGGTAAAGGTAAGTAACAATATAATCGACCTTCATCTCTATTTTTTTCAAATTCGTTAGATTTGTTATGTAAAGGTAATAAAGCAGCTACACCTCCTCGTGGCAACATTCGATGACGTTCTGCAAACTTGGCTAATTCTTCAGGTTCGACAGTTTTTTGACCACCAATACACACTTGCCATAAATTTGAAATACTTTTGATACCATCATGAAATTCTACATTTAAACGGAATGAAGTAAATTTTTCATCGGTGTAACGTCTTTTAATTTGAATATCTCTAGTAATATCAGTCAAATTAACTTTCCACTTTAAAGCAACTTGATGAGGAGAAGATTTAGCAGTTATATGCATAACTTCAAAAGACTCAATATTTCGGAAAAAGAGTAATTCCGAAATAGCAGTAGACTTCAATTTTTCCAAAAAGTTTAAGATTTTAGTTGTATTAAAAATTTCGTCACAAATTTCACTTGGACGAATACGAAGAGGTAATCTGAATAAAGTTCCTTCGAATTTTTTATCAAAACTGCAACCTTCCACTCCAATGTATGGAGCCAATTGATCTTTAAATAACTGTCTAAATTTTTCATTTTTAAAGAAATTAATTTGAAGACCACGTTGTTTACCAAGAAATTTTTCATGTGGATCTAGAAATTGAATATATTTGCCACTAACAAAACTAGGAACATCAGTAAAATGAAAACATGAATTGAAACCAATTCCAAATTTTCCAATCTTTGTAGGATCAGCACGTTTTCCTCCTTCATGAATATTGAGTAGAGCATTGAAATCATGTTCATTAAACATAGCATCATTGTAAATCCAGATTGCTGGACCTTGCCAATCTTTCATTCCTTTAGATATTAAAGATTCATGTTGATTTGTTGAACGTTCATCAACAATGATACTATTTAATTTTATTTGAAAAAAAAAATACAAAATTATTATAAATGTCATTTTCACAGTATTGCAATACATGCTAGTACAGTACGTAAAACATATCATGATCTTGTTACCGAAAGGTTCGAGCGCCAGCGTCATCAGCATTTTGCAAGAACTCGCCTATTAAAAAATAATAGAAAAATAATAGAATCAATTCTTTTGTATAGAATATTTTACTGTTTAAAATATTCAAAGAAATTATTTATTAATTACGAAATACGGATTCATGAGGATAGTCCTGTAAAATAACAACAATTTAGAAAGTAGTTTTCAACAATTACAGAATTAAATAAAATTTTTTTACATACCTTGATAATGTTTTTTATCAAATTAATCAGCTTGGAATCTTGACCATACTGTTTTGCATGTTCGGATTGTAAAAAAAGATTTCTTTCGTCAGACATCTTTTAATATTCTTGATAATATATTCTTATACGTATGTGTTTAAGTTGCAGTATTAAAAGTTTTATAAAACGAGGATCAAAAAATTCTGCAAAGAAATTCGAGAATTTTTTTTAAAATCCGAAAATAACAAAAGAAATTTGTATATTTTAAGAAGTACAGTATTTTAAATCCGGAAACAATGACAAGTATTTAGATTATAAATTTGTGACGCAAATTTTTTTGTCGTTATGATAGGAAAAAAAAAAAAAATTTAAACATCACTAATAATATGCATCACTTCTACAGTTCGTAGTTAAATAGTGTTCATTTATATATGTAATTTTCATTATTTGGCACGTTTGTACGATAAATGAAGTACAAAATTAAGGTTAAACATTGATAAACTCCGATTGGTTGCCAATATTTTGACACAGTTTAAAATAAGGATAAATCGATAAGCTCATTATTTTACCGAATGGAGTATAAATTCTGGCTGCACCATTCTAGATTGTCATATGACATATATTTACATAACAATTTCCTAATTAATCTAATCCTAAATCGGATAACCCGGACAACATTCTGAATTCTAATTTCCGAGCGAACCGAAATGGTAATAACAATAATAAAAAGAAATAATGTTTATTACAGTATTATTCGACTTTTTTTTTTTGTGTTTGTTCCTTGATTGTCAAAGTTTTTTTCTTTGGGTAATTATATCATACATATTTTTACGCAGATTTTGCAGATTTGGATTTGAAATTTTTCTATAGATCATTTCCAATCCGATCATGTGAAAGTTCCTTTATTCTTTTTCCAAAATTGTATATGTAATTCAAAAAAGTATATAACTCGATTTTAAAACAATCGATTCCCATAGATTATTATCAATTAACCGCCACAAAATTGTAAGTTTACCTTTTTCAATCTCTCATTTAAATAAAATTTTATCATTTAGATGATTTTATTGTACCTTATATTTTTGATATAAATATCTTAAATTTAACGGATGATCTTTTATTATTTTCGTAGACAGTCATTATCGTTATGAATGATTCATCCCCGTTTGGTTCTTTCCATCCTGACGAGAGTTACACGACTCGTATTAAAAATATTTTAACCGAGTACCCGGATGGATCTCAGATACTTAGAGAAATTTTACAAAATTCTGATGACGCGAAAAGCACTATTCAAACTTTTATTTTGGATTATAACACTTATCCTACTGAAAAATTATGTGATCCAAGACTTGATAGATATCAAGGTCCTGCACTTTTAGCTGCCAATGATACGATTTTTCAACCCGATGATTTTAAATCTTTGTTGAATTTGGCTAATAGTGAGAAAAGAAATAAATTTGATAAAATTGGAGGTAACCGTTTTTTTTTACTATTAACGTAAATAATATTTCGAAAATCTAAATCTAATTAATTAATTTTAACTTTAGTAATGGGTATCGGTTTCAATTCAGTGTTTCATATTACTGATGTTAGTTCCATTATTTCTGGATCCTCTTATGTTCTTATTGATCCTCATGCTCGTGGTTATTGTAATCAACCACCTGGTCAAAGAGGTTTCAAGGGTGATTTTGTAGAACATGATCTTGTAAATAAGGTACTGTAAAAATTACGATATCCATTGAATTTTACGTATTTCTCTATAATACTAATTCTTTAAAAAAAATTTTTTTATAGTATCCTGATCAGTTTATGCCATTTTCAGTAGCCTTAAATAATAATTTAAATGGATTTTATAATGGAACGATATTTCGATATTCTCTCCGAACGAAGAAGGATGCAAAAGAATCAGAAATTTCCGATAAAATATATCAAATTGATCAAATAAAAGAAATGTTTGAAACTTTCTATAATGTTGATAACATTACTTGTCTCATGTTTTTGAAATATATTGAAAAGATATCATTTTATGAGATTAAAAAAGGTGAAACTATTCCTACACTTTTATATCAAATTGAAGTTACTAATGCTAAAGAGATATCCGATAAAAGAAAACTATTGGCTAATAATATAATATCTATGATAAAATCTCCAACAAATTCTGGAACTTTTGAAACTATTTACAAAATGAATTTTTGCCAAAGTACTTCTCAATGTAATTTAAAAAGTGAATGGCTGATTATCAACTATATCGCTGACGTTAATGATAAAAATTATGTTAAATTTAAGAAATATATTCGAGATTGCAAATTTGTACCAAATGTTGGATTGGCTGCAAGAATTGATGATGTGTCAAAGAATAAAGGAAGGCTTTATTGCTTTTTACCTTTACCTGGATATAAGGATGACTTTTCTGTTTCTGTCAATGGTTGTTTCGCTGTCAGTAAAAATAGGAGGAACCTGGAAAATTCAATGGACGAAGACCTGGTAATTTTTGTTAGAACTACGTATTGCTATTAATTAATAATTCATAACAATAATATTAATTTTTTGCTTATAGGCTTCAGGTGATCTATTGCGTCTTAAAAGTTCATGGAATAAGTATTTGTTTGAAAAGGTTATCCCGATAGCATGGAAAAAACTTTTATCACATGTAAAAGATTATGTCTCATTTGAACAAATTTACACACTCTGGCCAATACTTGCGGATGGATCCTTTCGAGAATTAAATGAAAAAGATTGTCTTTGGTTTAATCTTTTACAGAATGTTATCAATCAGCTTGATCCTAATCTTGGCACTTTTCGTGGTCCATCTAAATATTTATCAATTAATGATGGGCATTTGAACGATAAGAAATTTGGAAAATCTTCAGCTTTGTCAGAAATATTGACCAAATTGGATTTTCCAATTTTTGTAAATATACCGGAACCAATAGTCGACAAATTGGAACAAGACACTTCAAAACATAAAAGACTTTTGAATTATGTTACTCCAGAAAAAATCTGTAAATACATTCTTGCCAACTTGAGCAGCTTAAATAATCTTGGCCGTCAAGAAAAATTAATTTTATTGGAATATGTTCTCAAAGTTAATGATGTCTCTAAACTTTACGGTCTTCCTCTGCTCCCACTTGAAAATCAAACATTTACAACTTTTGAATCTCAATATCGGAATAAATTCCACATTGCTAGTAAAGATGAACATATTCTTATTAGCAAAGATTATCTAGGAGTAATCGTTGATACCACAATCGGAAAAGAACTTTTATCAATATTACAAAATTATGCAATAAATAAAAAGAATATCAATGTACAAATTCTCTCAGATACTGACTTTGCAGAATTTCTTAAAAAATCTTTACAAAAGTACAAGATATATTCCGAGAATTCTCAAGAAATGCAAATAGGAACAAATCAAATGCAATGGTTATATAAAATTTGGGATCATTTAAAACTGACTAATAGGAGTTTACAAAATTTTTCTGATATTCATATTTTACCAATCGAAAATAATAATAATAATGATGTTATTACTTTGAGGAAATTAAGTGAAACGCCAAAATGCTTATGTCGTCTGTCTCGTATTTCAACTTTGCTACTTCAAAAATTAGTTACTCCATTAAAATTATTGGGCTCAACTTTCGTAGATGTTAATTTTGAAAAACAAGTCGTTTCGAAATATGAAGGGTAAGCATATTATCATATAGTGTTATCATAGCGTTATAATATTGTTAAACTAAATATATATTGTATGTATATTTCAGACTTAGAAACTATGTAGTTGAGATTGATAATATTACGGCAGTCTTTTCATCGCTCAGAGAAAATCCTTCTTTCCCTTTAAACATTACTCAGCCTGCTCTTTCAAATTATCAAAAAGAAGATTTAGTCTCCTATATTAGTGCTTATTTGCGGCGTGAATCATCTTTTGATCAAAAAGTTGTAGATGTAATCAATCAGCTCCCAATATTTAACGAAGTAAACAAGAATGATGCAATAAGTATTAATTCATTAAATGCATCGGGAAGGAAATATTACCTACTTCCTAAAGAAGATGAATTAACATGTGGACTCGTTATTTCACCTTGTGCATTCTTGGATGCTCATACTTCTGATGACAATTGTTTTATTCTTGAAAACGTGATCAAAGTTAAACGATTAGATCAAAAAGAATATTGGAAAGATCATGTTATTTCTTATCTAGGTTTTCAATCACCTAATATTATGGATCAAGTGATTGTAAAGCTCTTTGAAAAATGGACAATTATTAAACCTTTTCATAGTCAACTTTCTAAAATAGCATTCGTTAAAACTTCTTCAAGTTTGAAAAAACCAATCGAGATTTTCGATCCAGATAAAATTGCAATTAGAGAATTGTTCTTTTCAGATGAACCATTCTTTCCGGTTAAAAAATATCCAACAAATGATTATCTTTTTAAATTAAGTGAATTGGGAATGAAAAAAATGATGACTATCGAGGATGTTATCAATCGAATAGAAGAATATAAATCAAGAATGAGCCATGACCAAATTTATGAAGCACATTCCAAATCTCTTTTGCTATTAAATTATATTGATGATTATTATTCTACATTTAAAGATAATATAACATTTCAAAAAAAGATTCTATCAGAAAAATGGATTCCAACATTTAACTCGGACAACCAACTTATGTTTTCAAAACATTCAGATTGTCGTGATCGAGTGCACGCAGTCCTGGTTTCTTATACATTGCCAATAGTTAACGATAGAATAGTGAATGATGACTTGCGCAAAGTTCTTGGATGGGACAAGATTCCGCCAACAGAGATTGTAATAAATCAATTATTACGCTCATTAGAAATATTTAAAACAACAAGAAACTATAATATAAATGATTATAAAATCAGAGATCAAATTAGTTCAATTTACAAACATTTTAATGACATAATCAATCAGCCGAATGGATCAACTCATTTAGACCTTTTAAAACAAGAATTATTAGGAAGGAAATGGATTTTAAATGATGATAAACTTTATTCAACAGATAAAGTTGTATTCTCACTTCCTAGTTTTATTCCTAGTGGTTATTGGGTTCAACTTTCCCATCAAAATAAAAGACATTCATTACTTTTTGAAAAACTTGGAGTTAAAAAAGCACTTAATAATGATGATTATTTTCGAATTCTTTATAATGCAGATTTTTCTGATCCATTACAAAAAATTAGTGTAATATCAATAATTGATAAATTATCAAAAACCGAAAAAGATTTAACCGGATTATTAATTCCGAATATGGAATGTAAAATGGTAGATTATAAAAATATTTTATTTGATGATATGGGTTCAAGAGTTAGTGATTCAATGAAAGATTTTAGTAGTTTAGCTCATACAGAAATTTCAAAAGATTTGGCAAATAGATTAAATCTTAGAAATTTTAGTGAAACTTTTTTGGAAGATACTATGTTTGATTTTGGACAACATGAAGAATTAACTACACGGTTGAAAAATATTCTTAGGGTATGTACTAATTTATTATAATTTTTTTTTTTTTAATTACGTATAAATTAATTTGACACAATTTTATATTAGGATTATAATCGTAAGGAGATAGTTTTTAGAGAATTTCTTCAAAATGCAGATGATGCAGGAGCAAGTCGATTTTGTGTTATTCTTGATGAAAGTCAATACTCAACTAAATGTTTATTAAAGCAAGATACTATGGAAAGTTGGCAAGGACCTGCAATATGGATATACAATGATGGACAATTTGCTGAAGAAGATTTTAAGTCACTTTGTAATCTTGGAAAAAGTAGTAAATGGTTACAATACGATAAAATTGGAAAATTTGGACTTGGATTTAATTCATGTTATCATTTTACCGATTTACCACAATTAATATCAGGCACGGATGTAGTATTTTTTGATCCTCAAAAATCAATTCTTCCTAATAATAGTTCTGGTGCAAGATTTAGTTTTAAGAATTATAATGAAGATCATATTTTTAATAAATTTAAAGATCAATTCGAACCTTTTTTAAAAGTTAAAGGATGTGGATTTGAAGTCGATTATAATAGAGAATTCAAGGGAACTCTTTTTAGGTTACCGCTTAGAAAAAGCAAAAGTTTAATTTCAGATGAAATTGATGATATTGATAAAGTTAAAGAATCATTAAACATTATAAAGAACGATGCAATGTCTGAATTAATTTTTTTACGTAATGTAAAGTGTTTTGAAGTATTTAGAAAGACTAGCAAAAAGAATGATATATTAGTACCTTTATGGAAAGTTGAAATCACAAGAAACGCCGAAAATCGAAAGCTATATGGAAAAGAATTACAAGTATTTCAACTTGATGTTCAGCTTGATCTATATGTTGAAAAACGAGTATTATCTATGTGTAATGTTTTAGCAGAAAAGAGAGAAAAAAAGAAAGAAGAAAAATCATGGCTTATATGTTCTGGAGAAAATAATATTAATCTGAATACTTGGGGTGGAATATCTGTAGCTATTCCTGAAACGCCATCAAATCCGTTATTGGAAAAAGAAATAACACAGAATGGAAATTTTCATGCGCACCTTTTACTTTCTATTCTTTCAGGACTTTCTGTAAACTTACATGCGAGTGGTTGGGCTCTTTCATCTGACCGAAGAAGTCTTGTGTTTGCTAGCGATAATCAAACTTGCATTAAAAATGATGCAAAATCAACTCAAAATATGAAGATTTTGGACCAAGTTCTTCCAGAACTTCATGTAAAACTTTTTGAAGAATATATAAAAATAGAAGAATATTCTAGATCTAGATTATCGTACAATGCTAATTTTCAAGGTATTACACGATTATGGCCGATTCCAGAAAATAAAAATGCCGAAATATTGAAATATGGGTTGAAGGTGTTAGAACTTGCAATTGAAAAAGGGTGTAAAATATTTTGGTCAACATTTAAAGACGGCACATATGTCAGTTTCAAAGATTGTGTCTTTGTAACTAAAGAAACACCACAAGCTGTTGTTCACTTTCTTAACGAACAAGAATATCCTGCAGTTTTAATGGAAACTAAACGTTTAGAAGAATTAGAAACATTAAAGGCTCGAAAAGCTAGTCCAGAACTTATACGAAAATTTTTGAAAAATAATGAAAGTGTCTTACATATGCAAGAAGAACATCTTTTCGATTTATTTCGTTATATTCTTGAAGATAAAAAATATGATGATCTTGAAGATATTCACTTGGTTCCATTATTTAATCATAAATTCGGAAATTTTAATCGTGGTAAAACATACTACATTAGTACAAAAGAACAATATAAATTATTTCCTAATGCTGGACCGCAATATTTTATTCCTATTGAATTACTTAAATCACGAAAATTAATGCCAATATTTTCTGATGATGATTTTCGTAAAGCAACTGATATTAAAGATTTTGGAGAACCAACAATTAATCATCTATTATATCAAGAATTACATATTGAATCGGAACGAGATTGGAATCCACATGATACAACTACAATTCCAAATCAACTATGGCTTGATGAAATATGGAAATATATAGCTGATAAGTCTTTGGAACCATATAACTCATTCCCTTTATTAGAAGTTTATGATCCAACTAATCCAACTAAACATCAACTTGTAAGCATAAAAAATGCAACATCCAGACCTTTAGTAACATACAGTGATCATTCATCACCTTCAGGAATCATTCAAACGTTGGCAAACATTGGAATACGATTTACTAAACGTAATTATTGGTTCCGTAAAAATATTCCTATTTGTATGTTATCACCATATACTGTTTTAAATGCTATAAAACAATACAAATGTGTTGAAAATAATCGGTTCAACAATACAAATGATAGGGAAATTTTATGTCAATATTTTTGTAGAAATATACGTAGAGCACCACAAGAAAATTATATGTATTCATCAATGTCGAATCTTCCTATATGGCCAACTCATATTAAAGGTCCTGATGGAAATCCAATCTGTAAATCTATTCTAGACGCTGACGCATACTTGGTACCAAAACCTACAAACGCATTAAAACCATTTACATTTTATCCACCTAAAAATAAAAATACTTATTACTTTGATACGACAAGTGAGGCAGATATGAGAGACTTATTGGAATATGTAGGAGCTAAATTACAAGATAAATTAAGATATATTAAGGATATTATTGTTCCTAATATGATATCTATTCCTCAAAATCTACAAGAATCCTATATAAAACTTTTAATCGAAATATTTACCAATACTACTAGCATTGATGCGGTAAAGGATTATCTAAAAGATTTAAAAGTTATTCCAAATCAATCTTTTAATCTTTTCTGTGCAAGAGATTTATTCGATCAAAAGCATCAATTATTTAAATTCGTTTATAAAGAATCTGATCGATTTCTTCATAATAGTCTTCAAGATAATTCATATTCTATTAAAATACTTGAAGAAATAGGATTTAGAAGAACTGTTACTCCGGATATTTATATTAGATCTGCTGAAGAAATTCAATCAAGATTACAAAAAAATGAGGATGATTTGTTTAATAAAAGAGATATTATAAGTTCAGCAAAAAGAACTATTTTTTATTTTTACGATCATCAATCTGAGTTATCATTTTCTGAAGAAGAATGGAAAGAATTATCTAAAATTAAATTCGTTCCAACTTCAAAAATTAAATGTGGTCCAAATGAATTATTAAATGATTTATATAATCATTATAGTAAAAGTGATTCTGATGATTTAGAAAGTTTTGAAAATTTATGTCATCCGAAATATATGAATCTTGCATGGACTCAATTATCTTTCTTTGAAGATGAACCTCCTGAAAATGTTTTAAAAAATTATGAAAATCTTGGTTTACCAACTATTCTAACAATAATCAATCATTTAAAAGCAATTCAATCAACAATATCAAAATCCGATGATTGGAAAGAATTGGGTGATATTGGAAGTCGCTTAATATTTGAAGAATTGGAGAAAATTTATAAAAAACTCGAAAACGATTGTGAAGAAATAAGGGCATGTTTCCCTAAGGGACTTAAAAGACTTAAAATATTTTTAAATGGTACAGATCCATTCAATTCGAATGATTGGGTGACAGCTCCCCAACTTGATTTAAAGATTGATAAAGATTTTAGTCCAAGACGAAGAGCTGTTGTCGAACATCTTTTAAAATATCCAAAACTTTTGGAATTAGCTGGTGTGAATTCTCCCGATATTCCTATTTGGACAAAACCTGAACCTAAAGAAGAAAACAACACTAATCGACTATCCAAGTCTATGATAAGACTATTAAATGCAGGAAATGAAACACCTTTTAATAATGTTTTATTTAATATTAAAGGACAAGAAATTTATGCAAATTCTTCTCTATTAACTTGTGCTGCACCATATTTTGAAGAAATATTTATTGAAACTTCATCAAATTTTAATCAAACTTATGATGACATTGAACCTGATTCATTTCGCGTATTATTAAAGTGGTTATATGGAGAATCATTATCTGAAGCTATGCAAAATTATGAAAAAGAAGAAAATGGTGATATATTCTTTCAAATTTGTAAAGATTTATTATTAGCATCAAGAAAATTTGAGATTAGTTCAATTAGAGAATTGATTGAATATAAATTAGTTATGTATATCAATGATGATTTAGTTGATGATAATTTAGAAAAAATTAAAGAGTTGGCCGATGAATGTGAATTAGAAGATCTATTGAAATATTGTGAAAGTGTGGAAGAAGTAATGAAAGATGAAGATGATGAATCAGATCAAGAAGTTTATTCAAATTTAGGTGAAAATAGTAATATTAGAGGAACTAAAGATGGCAATTCAAAGACAAATATGCCAAGACCCTCCATCATAAATAGTTTAAAATTCAGATTTTTCAAAAGCCGACTTTTTAAAACCAAATTCGAAACATAATATGAATTATAGTTTTTTTTGAATTATAGTGTAGTTTAATAAATTATTAATAATGCATTGTGTATAAATTTACTGTATTAACGCTTATATAATTCAATAAAATTTACTGTATAGTACAATATTTAGCATATGGAAGAGATGTACAATAAAATATTCGACGATTATGACGTGTAGTAAAGTTGATCTTTATTTACAATATTTCGGTTTTTATTATGCTTTGCACGAAGATGCAATGTGTGAATGAAGATTCAACGGATTTTAATTTTACCGATTTAAATAAATATCTATAAATCATAGAATCAATCCTTTTGCAATAGTTGACTTTGTTTCGGGTAGAATTTAATCGCTAGACTAGACATTATTGTTGGATTCTGCTTAATGAAACAAAACCATTTGTCTGAAGTAGTATATTGATATAGATCTGCTTTGTAATTGTGTTATAAAATATATAGCAGGTTTTATACGAATCTTTCTGGTAGTTAAAATTTTGATAAAGCTTAGTCATAATTTATAAAAATATATTATTTGCATTAAATTTTTTTAGGATATGTTAGTTCATTTAGAGTCAACTTCAACATTGCTTAAAAGGAATCCATTGCTAATGAATTTACAATCCAAATCCAAAGAACTCAATTGTTGGAAAATTTCGTACATTGAAGGACGTTTATTGCGTTCATAATCCCAACATTTTGAATAAAGATCAATGTATTGTTTAGGCGTTCCTGTGATTGGTTCTTCACGTGAGCCTTGAATAATTCTAATCAGAAGATCAAATTGTACGTCCATTACTGGAAATCTCCCACATTAGCACACCAATACTGTATACGTCAGACTTCTCATCACACCGATAATTCTGTGGATCTTCAAGCTTATGAGGATCAATAAAAGGAATTACTCTATAGCTACTTTATTAGGATCGTTTGAAAATCCAGAATCCGAAATTTTAATATTTCCATCATGGATAAGAATATTCAAAGCGTGCTAAATTATACATAATATGCTTGTAAATAACTTGATAATTTACAACAATTAAATAAATTAAATTAAATAATTTACCAAATTTCGATGTGTGATAGATATGCTATGAAGATAAGATATCCCTTCAGCTATTTGGCTCACTAATCGGATTTTTCCTGGCCATTCTAATCCATTATCTTGTAGATATTTTCGTAATGTTCCATTATTAGCATACTCCATTACAAGATAATGTATATTCTTTCTCTTAGCTTATGATAAATGTTTTAAAATCAAACAAGGTTTAGGAATTTGCTAAAAACTCACAATGATATATAATGAATAAATAGTTTACCGATACTAATCCCATGAAATTTAATAATTCGCTCATGATTAGATCTACTGATATGTTTCAGCTAAAAATAACAATATCTTAGAAAGCCGATAAATAATAAACAAAAAGATATTAAATAAAGTACCTCATTAATAAATCTCTTTTGAGCCTTTTCATCCATTTCTGAGTCTATTTCTTTAATAGCCACTTAATCTACCGGTAGCTTAGGAGTACTTGTTTTATACATGTATCTGTGCTCTAATTTATCCTTGGCCATAAAACTATCATAAGGAATTTCATTCAAACTGTACACTTTAAGCCAGTTCTCGTAACTAAGTAGTTTAACACATATGCGAAAGGACAAATAATTAATGTTTAATGAGAATTCTATTGACAATAAAATGCGTGAATAAATAAACTATATTTACTCCCTGGTAATTTAACACATGAATGAAAAATAGAGAAGTAATATTTAATAAAAAATTTGATATTGATAAATGTGGCATTAATATGAATGGATTTTCTATTTATATACATTATCTACTTACCGACTGGAAATTGATGTCATTCAAAATAAAAAATATTTAATAGAGATTCCATTGACGTATATTGTGCACATTATAATAATATAAGATTTATACTAACACTCTAGTAATTTGAAGAGTAGAGAATGATGTTAATAAATTCTATTGATGATAAGATATGTGCATTACTTTATAAATAATCTGTATACTTACTTTTCATTAGATTCTTTAATTTCTGCAAGTCTATTGTTTAATTATATTTATATCTTATTAGTTAGGCCTTAATTTTAATTTCCGATATATTAACATAAATAACACAAATATTCTTATACTTTTGCATGTCTATTGTTTAATTATATTTATATCTTATTAGTTAGGCCTTAATTTTAATTTTCCGATACTATTAACAAAATATTACCTTTTTTTTCATGTCTTCTGTTTAATTATATTTATATCTTATTAGTTAAGCCTTACTTTCCGATACTATTAACACAAATAACACAAAAAATATCTTACTTTGCTTCGATAGCTTTTTGTTTTTCTGGATGACTATTGTTTAATTATATTTATATCTTATTAGTTACTTTTATTATATATTGTGTAATATATTAATAATATTATTATTATAATTACTATTTTCGAGTCATCTCTTCTATTACTTTTATTTGTTTTTACTTGGTTTCTTTTCAAGTTTCAAGTGGAAAAATATATCAGTATCTAAAATATATCAATCAATTTATAAATTAATTTTTAGTGTAATTTACCCCCAAAAGTTATAAATCTGGAATTTTATCAGTCAGATATTGATATAAAAGAATAATTTTCATGCATCTGAAAATGTGCATGGCCCAGGGTGTTACAACTTATGTGACAATAATAAATATTTATTTGTTGTTATTAGAGTGTTCAGAATTATGATCTAGTAACTGCCAAATTATGTATGTGGTAAATTGTAAATTATGTGAATTATGCAGGTCTTTAACAGCATATAAGAAAATTTTTATTATTTATTTGAATTAGATTTGATTTAGTTTAAAAATTCTATAATTTAAATCTAATTCATATTGCATTAATTAAAATATAACATATTTAGCATTTCAATAAATTCAGGAGAAAGTAAATGCTATTTGTCATCTAAAATATTTTTGTATACAAAAAAACTATGTTCTACATCAACACCAAAGATTAGAAGCCAAATATACTTTAAGGCTAACTTGCTTAAACAAGGTAAAAACAGATTTTTCCTAACTAATATTTTTCAATATCAAAATCCAATTCAAAAATTTTTTTCTGCCACAATAGATTCCCCACTCTTGGATTAACTAGTTACTTGGCTTATTCAATTCTTGAATTATTAAGTATGAATGAAGTTTTTTTTTGTAGTTTATTGATTAAGCCATCATGGATCAAAGCATTGAACTTTAAAAAAAAGTTCAAGTGCAACAGGTTTGTTACGAATCTTGAATAATTCTAAATTATTAATAATTCCAATAAATTATATAATTAAATATAGGGTTTAAGATTTTATGCACCTGCATGGTCATGCATGCACTCCATGATTAACCAATCATATAACAACAAAGACAAGCCCAACCTGCCAACCCATCAGCATCCTACCTACCAAATCACTAACCAATCAAATCACAAAATTGCAAAAATGTAAGTTTTTATTACTAATACAACCAATACAATTTAACTCAATATAACAGGTAATAAACAATTTTTTATTTAAAAACTTATTTTTTTAAAAAAAAACCTAACCCTAAACTAACTCCTTATACCAATGACACAGTAAATCACACCAAACATGATGATGCTACACAATAAAATTGACACTTGAATTTTCATTCTGTCACCATTCTAATACTCTAAAACTCACAAAAAAATATTAGCAAAATGAAAAAAAAGCTAAAGAAAAAAAAAACTAGTACTTATCTTTAGTACTAGTTCTGGTTTCTGAATCTCCATTCCAGCATCTTAGTGCAACATAAATTTATAAAAAAAACTGAAAAAAAGAACCAGAGAAAAAAAAAACAATTAAAAGAACTGGTAATATTTTTCAGTACCAGTTCTGGTTTTCAAATATCCATTCAGTCATCATTCCAGTTAGAGTTTGGACCTGTTAGCCGCATATCCAGATATCCGTATAGTTAATTGCATAACCGGATGCTATAAATATCTCACAGATAAGAACCCTTATCCGCCAATTTCCAAAAGGATAACTTAATGGATACCTGCAGATATCTATTGATACCCATAGTTAGAGATAAGATCTGGTGTTATGGTTAAATTTTTCCAAACTCATAAATATCTGCTGCTTGTGTAAACTGCTGCTTGCCTAATAAAACTTCAGGAACAATGTAGAGCATAACTCCATAAATTTCACCACCTGAAGCATTCTTCTAATCTTAGATCTGTGATATAGCAAAAGATTACCATTATGAAAATCTGCATAGATGTATCCTGTATTATTTATAAATTCTATATAACTCCAACGCAGTATCTTTAAGTATTTATAATTTTGCCTGCCATGTAAGACCACTAAATTTTTTTCTTAAATATTTATGAAGACTTCCATTATCAGCACCATCAAGTATTCTTTTGTTCTATGTTTTGGGCTATTCTATATATTACGAGCTTCTATAACTTAATTTACATTCCATAAAACTTTTAAAGTTAAAGTTTAAACAATAAATTAGTTCAATAAACAATTAGATAAATTAATTATCAAAGCAATAAAATTATTTATTATCTTACTTCTTTTATTTCCAATATCTTGAGTGCAACAGTGCTATTTAATTTATATGCTCTTATATAATTGTAATCATTAACTTTTTGTATGCCATCCAACCAGGTTGCTGAATATACTGAGCCAAATCCCCTTTCACCAATTTTTTAATATCTAAATAGAATTTATTCAATCGCATCTTTATAACTCCAGGCTCCAAGTTGAATTTTTTTCATATAATTATCAATATCTTTATATCTACTTGTCCACTTTGTTATTATGTCAGGGTCGCATGATAGAATACTTTATAAGTGTTATCTTTATTACAATGTGCATATTTTCATATTTAGATCTCTATATAGTATATAAATAATGCATCAGCAGTTATAAAGTTTATACCGAATATAAATAATTTTATACTCACTGACTAAATTAATGCAAATAAAATGATATAATATTCTAGGTTATCCGGTTTATCTGGATATCTGTATGATTATACAGATATCTGAAGAGTTATCCGGTTATCTATAGGATTTATCCAGATATCTGCAGCTAAAAAAAACAGCAGTTATTCAGATATAGCTTTTATAAAATGGGTACATCAAAATGGATAACCAGATATCCGGGTTCAAACTCTAATTCCAGTACTTTAGGGCAGCTCAAACCTACAAGAAAGAAACGTTAGCAGAACTAAAAAAAGAAACAGGGGTAAAAAAGACAATCAAAAAACTAGTAATATCTTTCAGTACTAGTTTTAGTTTTTGAATATCTATTTCAGTCATTATTCTAGTACCTCTGCAAAACACGAACCTATGAGAAAGAAATGTTAATAGAACAAAAAAAAACTAGAAAAAAGTTCTAGTTTCCAAATCTTCATTCCTATCACCATTCTAGTACTCTAACAAACATGAATCTGCAAGTAAGAAAATGTTAGTAGAATGAAAAAAAACAAAAAAAAAACAAACAAAAAAACTGATATCTATCTTTCAGTACTAGTTCCAGTTTTGAATCTCTATTCAAGTACCTTGGTGCAGCACAAACCTATGAGAAAAAAAATAATAGTAATCAAAAAAACTTGTCGATTTCCAAATTTAGCACTAGCAAAAGATATACCTACAAGAATATAATGTAAAAGAGACAAACAAAACTGGTACTTATTTTTCATACCAGTTCTAGTTTCCAAATTTTTATTTCTATCATCATTCTGGCACCCCAGCAAAACATGAACTTACAAGAAAGAAAACGTTATTAAACCAAAAAAATAACTACAGTCAGACCTCCCTATAGTCACACCCCATATAGTCACACCTCTATTTAAGCACCCAATATTGTGCAATGGACTTAAAATATAGTAAAAAACCTCATTACAGTTACAAATCATTTATAATCACTATTACCATAAACATTTGATTTTTTAACAATTTTATTAATAATTAACCCTCATTATAGTCACCAATTTTTAACTCAATTCGGATAATAAAATCTGATTGGCTAATATTCATATCCATATATATTTAAAACATCCTAAAGGTTTGATACCAAATAACTTTTGATCTAATAACCTGATTTGAATCAAACAACCACCAAAATATTCATCTCAATAAGACGATTCTAATGAGCCCAAAATTGTTAAAATCTAATTACAAGTTCCAAATATCATTAAGGATTTGTATTATTTTATATGCTTAACAATTAATTAAATTTAAATATTTGAGTGAAAAATCCTTAGTAATCTTGGGTTTTGTGATTAGAGTAGGGCTCATTAGAATTGTCTCATTAAGACAATCACTCTGGTATCTATTTTATCCAAATTGGGCTACTAAATCAAAGGTTATTTATTATTAAATTTTTTAAATTTTTTAATAGTATTTCAATATATTACAACTACATATTATATTAAGCCTATAAATATGTAACTATAAAAGGTATTTTATTTATAGTCACACCTCTATACAAGCACTACAATAGGGTGTGACCAACTTGGTAACTATAGGGAGGTCTGACTGTAAAAATAAAAAGCCAAACAAAAAAGCTAGTATCTAAGAAAAAAAAAACAAAAATAACAAAAGAACTAGCACCTATCTTTCAGTACTAGTTTCAGTTTTCAAATTTATTTCTCATTGCCTCCAGTACTTTAGTGAATATAAAGCCAAGGAAAGAAATATTAAAGAATGAAAAAAAAAACAATTGAACTGGTATTTATTTTTTGTACCAGTTCCAGTTTCTGAATTCTCATCATTCTAGCAGCCTAGTAAAACAAAGTCTACAAAAAAAGATATAGTAAAACAAAAAAAGAACCAAGAAAAAAAGACAAAGAACTGGTATCTATCTTTCTGTACCAGTTCTGGTTTCTGAATTGTTACTATTCCAGTTACCCAATGAAACACAAACCTAGAGAAAAACAGTAGTAGAACAAAAAAAAAACAAAGAAAAAAAAAATAATAATTAGAACTGGTACTTATCTTTTACACAGTTCCTGTTTTCAGATTTCCATTTGGCACCATTTTAATATACTAGTGAAACATGAAAAAAGAAATTAGAATAGAAAAAAAAATATTAGTTATTACTATATTACAAGTAACAAAAACATGTACTTATACATCTAGGGTGGTAAGTTGCCAAGGGTGCACAACAATGCAGGTATGTAAAAAACATTTTTCCTTAAATATATATACTGTAATTAATTAAAGTTAATAATAAATATATTGATTTGTTATTAAATACTTATAGTTGTGCATTGAAAGTAATAAACATAATGACTATTTTTATAAAAAAAATATACACACTATCCTGAAATAATCAATTTAAATCTTTAAGAGCT